TTTTTTTTACGTACTGCATTCTCGTTCAATTTAATGTTTCTCACACAAGACTCGAACTAGATGACTCTATCATCATAAAAGTCATCTCGATTGCTGGCGGTTATTACTTTGTATGTGAAAATGGATGCACTTAGGAGGTTATAATCAGGGAATAGTTATAATAATGGAAGAGCAAATTTTGCCCGGTCTCTGATAATAAAACTGGAGAAATATACCAAGCTGATTTTCTGCCCGATTTCCTCCGAAGATATGCGATAATTTATAAAGTTTTTCAGAGGAGACAAAAAGCCGCTTTGCGAACTACCTAAAGCCCTGGCCAAGCGGACTCGCAAGTAGACCCAAATTGAAAACTTGGTTCTACTTGGGAGTCCGTTTGGCCAGGCCTTGCATGCACTTGTGTTGACTTGCGATGACTTGCCCTCACTTTGGTCGAGATAAAACTTGCTCGCAAGTCGACGCAAGTTTTTCACCGTTTGGCCACCCAACCCAAGTCAATGCAAGTTGAGTGACGTCCATTGGATGTTATAGCAACTTATTAGCCAATAAAATACAGGATATGACTGAAGCCCGTAGCCTTGAAATAATTTTTTTTCGCAACTTGCGTGTACTTGCGAGGAAACTTACGAGTCCGTTCGCGATCGGTCACCCAACGCAAGTCTCTACGCAAGTTCAACTTGCGGCTACTTGTGACTACTTGCGAGTCCGCTTGGCCAGGGCTTAACATTATTCGTCTCTTCTTCGTAAATTCGTCTTGCATGAGATCATTGTTTTCTTCCACTTCACTGTCGATATTGTGTTCATTGTACACCTTCGTCTCAATCCACCTAGGTCTTTTTCCACCTCTTTGCCGCTGCCATGTGCGATGGTCATTTCCTTCTATGAGACATGCCTGGACTGGATACGTGTTTTGATGAAAAGAACTACCGTGATTCTCTGCAGGCGTGCCTCGCAAGGGAACTAGCCATTCATGTCGTTCCAGTCCTCCTTGCCGTCTCGTTCCCAGAATTCTTCGCAACTTGTTCTGAAATGTTCCCAGTATTTTGACGAAACTTATTATTAGGAAAACTCTCTTCGTCCTTTCTCGGCAGTGAAACGCAAAAATAAGATGTTGCTGAGCGAAAATGTACAAAACATTTGAATAAAACGCTGTAAATAGAACAGACACCGACAGTGGTTAACCAACCAAGGAGCCGATGATGGAAAACAATAATTACAAAAATTATGCACAATTATCCAGCCTACAAAGTTTAACTTTTCACCGATCGTCTTAACCTTTTGGCTTTTAATGGTAGCCAAGATTTTAAGCAGTTTAGACGTTAACAACAAGCGGTAGTTTTGTCCCCGTCCACCGGAGATACTCCTATATCTGGCCTATATACATATAAGTATGTGCCACGGGATAGGGTATGGTTTTTAAGATTCTCGATCCTTAAATGGGGTATCAGTTTTGTCCCGGTTGGCACTATGTTCCC